ACTCATGCTGTGTGTGGCAATAGTCTCTTCTTTTTGGTTGCTGTGTAGCATTCCATTGTATGGCTGTGCCACCATTTGGCTACTCTTCTATCTATGGACATTTGAGTTACTTGTAGCTATTGTGAATAAGGTGGATCTGAACATTTTTGCATGTATCATTTGGGAGCCATAAACTTTCACTTCTGTTGAGTATTTACTGAGAAGTAGGACTGGTGGGCCGTAAAATGAGCACGTTTAGTTTGAGTAGATACTGCCCAGTTGTTTTCCAAAGCGAGCTGTGCCAATCCCACGAATAGTGCATGGGAGCTCTAATTCTGCTACATCCTCATCAATGTTGGTGTCAGTCATTCTGGGACATAGTAGCATCTGGGTATAGTTTTAATTTGCATTTAACTGATGGTGAATGAGGTTAGGGACCTTCTTATGTGTTTATTGGCATTTAGATAGTACCTGTTACTTTTGAGTCATAGTTTCCTTTACAATGGGGCAAAGGGATCATGCCTTTCTTTTTCTCTTGGTTTCCTTAAAAGTTCACCCTTGTCAATTTATACTTAATTACACAAGTATTGTATGGATACATTTTCACTGTTACCTCGCACCCTTGCTAACACTGACCTTTAAACTGAGAAAAGAAATCAGTCTTACTGATATTTTAATGGAATGTACATTTCTCTGATTATTAGTGAGATTAAGCATTTTTCTTATGTTTTTTGGACACTTGTGTTTCTTCCATGTATTGCCTTTTCACATCCTTTGCCAATTTTTAAAATCAGGTTGTTTCTCTTCCTCACTGATTCTGGAAGTTTTTAATACAGTCTGTATAGGAATCTGTTATCTGTTACATATTGCAAATACTTTCTTTTCTTCTGCTGATTGTATTTTTATGTATTTATTGTTTTTTCTCACATAGGGTCTCGCTTTTTGGTCCAGGCTGGAGTGCAGTGCATTAAACATTAACCTCTAATTCTTTCCTTCTCCCAGCCCCTCGTAACTTCTATTCTACTTACTGTCTTTATGAATTTGCCTATTCCAGCAGACTCATATAAATGGAATCATGCAATATTTGTCCTTTTGTAGATATTAATCTTTTCATTTATTTATATATTCTTTGTTTTTGTTTTTGAGACAGGATCTTGCTCTGTTACCCAGGCTGGAGTGCAGTGGTACGATCATGGCTCACTGCAGCCTTGGCCTCCTGGACCCCAGCAATCCTCCCACCTCAGCCTTCTGAGTAGTTGGGACCACAGGTGTACACCACAATACCTGGTTAATTTTTAAAATTTTTTGTAGAGACAGGGTCTCCCCACATTGCCCAGGCTGGCCTCGAACTCCTTGGGCTCAAGGGGTCCTCCCACAGTGTTGGGATTACAGGCCTGAGTCACTGCACCTGGCCTTGATTGTATTTTTAAAATACTTTTTTTGTTTAGAATTGTTTCAAACTTACAGAAAAATCGAGAAGATAGTACAGAGTGTTCCCATATGCTCATGGCCAACGTTCCCTTTGTTAACATCTTGCATGAGTATGGCACATTTGTTAGAAGGAATGAACCAACACTGATACATGATCTAGTCATCGCGTCTCCTTGGGCTCCTCTAGCTGTGACGGTTCCTTAGACTGTCTTTGTTTTTGATGACCTTGATAGTTTTGAGAAGTACTGCTCAGATATTTTCCTGAATGCCTATTTATTAGATTTGTCTGATGTTTTTCTCCTGACTTGACTGGGGTTATGAGTTTTTGAGAGGAACACCACAGAAGTAAAGTGCTGTTTTCCTCACATCACATCAGAAGTATGTACGATCAACATGATTCATCACCACTGATGTTGACCTTCATCACCTGGCTGAGGTCGTGTGTGTCAGGGTCCTCCACTCTAAGGTCACTTTTCTTCCCCATTCCATACTGTTCTCTGAGGAAGGAAGTCACTAGGCTTACTCCACATTTAATGAGTCAGAAGTTATGCCTCATCCCCTTGAGGCAGAGCATCTGCATAAATTATTTGAAATTTCTCTGTCCAAGGGACTTGTCCCTCCTCCCCCATTTATTAATTTATTCAATCATTTACTTGCAATAGTGAGGACTCAGGGGTATTTATTTGATACTCTGGATGATAATCCATCACTGCTTTATTTTGTTGCTCAAATAGTTCCACCTTTGGCCGTTGGGAGCATTCTCTCTTGGCTCCTGTGTTTCTTTGATGTAGCTCCATTAATATGCGTTTGTTTTTGTTTGTTTTTGAATGCCTTCTTATTTTCTGGCACTACAAAATACTCCAGGCTCCTCTTGCATGTTTCTGTCAGAGGCATAGAATTGGCTATTTCTCCAAGGAGCCCTGGTGCCTTTCATTGAAGAGTGTTGTTAGAAACCAAGGTCTGGGTGCTAGGTATGCTTTTCGCTACTGGGTGCTGTTTATTTTAGTCCTTCTCGGATGACAGAGCAAGGAAATATTCGTGTGTATACTAACTTGTGAATATCACATATGTATACATGTTTCTATGTGGAATCTTCTGCCCCTGTGTTTAGTTAGACATGAGTTCATACTGACACCTCAAATTCTGCTCCATTACCAAGTGGATCATTCTAGCCTCCTTCCCTGGCTTCTCTGTAAATTTGCATTCCAACAGTGAGTGACCTGGCTCCTACTGCCCACCATTTGTTTAATTAATTTTCAATTTCAGTGTGCACATATCAGAATTGTTAATGCATATCCTCATGAGAAACAACTTTATCAAATAGAGTAAGGTCCAAAACTCATATGAGAGAAGAAGCCTTGGTGACTGACCACAGATGGGGTTATCTTAGCCTGTTTGTGTTGTTATAAAAGAATACTTGAGGCTTGGTAATGTATAAAGAAAATAGGTTTATTTGGTTCATCATTCTGCAGACTGTACAAAAAGCATGGCACCAATACCTGCTTCTGATGAGGGCCTCTGGCTGCTTCTACTCATGGCGGAAGGGGAAGGTGAACCACTGTGTGCAGATCACATGGGGAGAGAGGAGGCAAGAGGAGGCAGGAGGAGGTTCTATGCTCTTTTCAACAACTAGCTCTTGAGGGAACTAAGAGTGAAACTTACACCTGTGAGGATGGCAGCAGGCCATTCACAAGAGATCTGCTCCCATGACCCAAACCTCCCGCTGGGCCCCACCTCTGACACTGGGGATGAAATTTCAACATTAGATTTTTTTTACGGGGAGGTCAAATATCCAAACCATAGCAATGGGTCTTAATTGCAGCTGGCTTGTGTGGATTCAGTGCTTAACTCCAGTGGTATGTGGGAATCCGGTAAAGACCCTCAGCCAAGATATGAATTGATTATTCTTGCTGGTGATTTATAAGATGCTGCTTAAAACCAGAACTCCCTGGGAGGTATGCCGCAGCAGCATGTCTACATTATTTCTTAAACATACATAGATTGATGATTTGCATTTGGTTTACATGTTTACTCAGCCTGATTTAAGCTACGTAATTAGTGGAGTATACAAAACCCCTTAGTAAGCTGTGCCTTAGCTTCCCAAGACCAAGGGATTACATATATATCAAGAAGAAAGTGCTCTTTTTCAAATGAAGCATGATATAGAAATATTTCTTCATGGTACTGATAATGCAGTAAAGTGTATATGCTTCTGAGTGATTTGCTTACGTGTATGTCAGCAACACATTCAGTGTCCAGAATGGCTTGAAGTTATGCCTTCAGGGCCAAAATAACATGATGTTAAATTCTGTGGATTCAATAAAAGAATTCATTAAGAAATCTGCCCTGTGAGGTAAATGATTAAACATTGACTCTTTCTCAACATTAGATAATTCTTTTTATTCATCAGAGAAATGTGATTTATGACACATTTAAAAAGCATGTTTAAGGCCAGGCATGGTGGTGTATACCTGTAGTCTCAATTATGTGGGAGGCTGGGGTGGGAGGATCGCCTGAGCCTAGTAGTTCTAGGCTGCAGTGTGCCATGATCATACCTGTGAATAGCCACTGCACTCCAGCCTGGGCAACATAGCGAGATCCCATCTCTAAAATGAAATTTTGTTTTAAAGCATGTTTAAAACATACATACACCAGCCTGGCCAACATAGTGAAACCTTGACTTTACTACAAATACAAAAATTAGCTGGGCGTGGTGGCACGTGCCTATAATCTTAGCTACTCGGGAGGCTGAGGCAGGAGAATTCCTTGAACCTGGGAGACAGAGGTTTCAGTGAGCTGAAATTGTGCCACTGTGCTCCAGCCTGAGCAACAGAGGGAGATTCTGTCTCAAAAAACAAACAAACAACAAAAAAATCATACATAGAAATGTTCCAGTAGAATACAAAGAACCACTTTCTAGAACTGAATGCACCAGAGAGGATTAGAAACCCACTTATTCTCTCCCAGCTTCAAGTATTTAATGTTCCTACTTTTGCATGTGGCAGGCTTGCTGACTCAGATCTGAGAGTGTTGAAAGACAGATTCATAATTTCTGGTCCACATTTGATGCAAATATTTAGAACTATCTAGCAGAGCTTGCTGCCTTTCCAACAATCCAGTTAGTGAATTGAGAATGTTCTCATTTAATAGAAATGAAGCATAAAAGAAGGATCCACCTGGCCATGGGACTGGAGGACTAGCCCAAGCCATGCTCCGTGGAGGCACAGATAGACACCCTCAGGGAAGCTGACCCTTTGAAAAAAGGGCCTAGTGTGTGTATTTCCACACTGCCCCCTGCTGGCTGACACTGGAATATTGATTCTTCCTGTGGCTCTAAGAAGACTTAACAGGATGAGGCCAGCAGCCCCCCGGCAAGGAAACTTGAGCAAGAGGCAGCTGGATTTGGCTGAGACGCTCTCCTCAGGGAAGGCTAGGTCTGGGAGTGGGTTTGAACAGTGGTGGAGAAATAACTTCCACAGGGCATGTCAGAGTAAGTTCTGGTGTTTCCAAGAGAATGGGACAGGATCTTAGTGGAATTTAGAAGTCAGGTGGGTGGAAAAGCATCCAGGACCCCATTCCAAGGGCTCGAGTCCCTGGAGACAGCCTGGCAAGATTGGGTGCCAGCTGTAGAGAGGAGAGCAAGGCGACCAAACACAGGGTAAGGTCTGGAGGTGCTCATGGTTCACTACGGGACATGCACATGAAAGTAAATAATTATGTCCCAAGGTGCTAAGGGGGCTAGTTCCCTCACATAGGATCTTAGAAAAGGTCTCCTGGAGACCATGTCTGAGCTAGTCCTGAGGTGTGAGTAGGGATATGTGGAGCACATCAGGATTATGGCAGGCGAGTTTGGAGAACGAGGCAGAGTCCAGCCTACAAAAGATCTCTTGCAATTTATTGAGGAGCCATGAACTTCTCCCATGCATGGTGAAATGTCCTTAAAGGATTTTGAATAGATTTAAAAGACACTCAGAAACAAAAAATGGTAGATTCAAAATAGACGGTAGGGATCCCTTTCTTCCGTTTTCTTTGAAGAATCAGAAGTGTTTCCCACCTGGATTGTTTCTGCTACATCTGAAGGCTATTCTCGTAAACCCGCCGTATCTCTTTTCAACAATTTTGTACTTTGCCTTTTTATGGTGCAGGCAAGCTCTGGAGTACTTGGGCTTTCAGGTGAGTGGGAAAACAAAGAAATTCATGCCTGATCCCGTTGAGCCACTAATGTAATGTTGCTTTGACACTAATGGAGATGTAACTTCTTTTAAGACATAATAGAATCTCCTAAGTGTGTGTGGGAGTCGCAAGAAGGAGGAATCTGGGCTTCTACAAGTGAGACAGCATGTATTCATTTATTCAGTCAGTCAGTCACTGGGTCGATGCGCTTAGCTTTCTGCTCTGTGCTGGGTGCTGTGTGGGATATAAAAGAAGCTGAGGCCGGGTGCAGTGACTCACGCCTGTAATCCCAGCACTTTGGGAGGCCGAGGCAGGTGGATCATGAGGTCAGGAGATCGAGACCATCCTGGCCAACATGGTGAAACCCTGTCTCTACTAAAAATACAAAAATTAGCTGGGAGTGGTGGTGTGTGCCTGTAATCCCAGCTACTTGGGAAGCTGAGGCAGGAGAATGGCGTAAACCAGGGAGTTGGAGGTTGCAGTGAGCAGAGATAGCACCACCGCACTCCAGCCTGACAACAGAGCGAGACTCCATCTCAAAAAGAAAAAAAAAAGAAGCAGCTGAAATTCCAGCTCTTATCCCCCGAAGAATCTGTACTCTTCTTGGGAATCCACAGAAGAAGGAAACAATGTCAGCAAAGTAAGATCGTGCTGCATGACTTCAAGATAGATATTAAGGACGTTTTGATGGGATAAAGGAAATTTTTGTTGGTTCAGAGATGAGCTTTACTGGCTTTGAGCTAGGTGATAGACGTAAGTGGGTGGAGTGTGGCTGGGGAGAATTTCAGGCCTGGATAAGGGCCAAGTGTGAATGGATGGTCTCATGTAGGAAGCCATCAGGATAGGCATAGCAAATCCAGGGGTCCTGTAACCATGGACAGAGGATCTTTGCTGATGTAGGAATTGCATGGCAGGTCAGTACACCTCAGTGAGCCTGGAGACCCTGTTGCTTCCTATTCCCTACCTCAAGGCACTCAGTCTTATAACTTTGGGCTGCATCTCTGAGACAGTGGACTCTGGAGATAATAGCCATATCTTCTTCTTTAACATTCACTCAAGATGAGCTGATAAAGAACCTCTTTCATGAAATATCTCTATAATTTCTCTAGTTAGAAGTTGAAACTACTCTCATCACATCTTTTGATGTTTATATGCACACTCTTCTGTTAAAAAAAGATTGCACTAGTTTTTAGGGATAATGTTAGGCTAATATTAGATGTTTCTGGCATATTCTTTACAAGGCCTTCAAACTAAGTTATGGTATAATATTTGCAATTAGAAAAACAAATACCCAAAGCATACTTAGATGTATTTGTATGTTTTCTGGTGTCAGTTGGAGGTGGAGAGGCCACCAGTGCTCTGAATCCGGAGGCTAAGATGAGTTACTTGTTAGGCTTGGCTGCTTGGAATTGTCTGTCTTTGTAAAAGCAGATGAACTGAAGATATTGTAGTTAGTGGCATGAGTGGGCCACCCAGAAAAATCAAAGTTCAGGTTGGACTCATTTTCTCACGTATTTAAGTGTCTTTGCCATTTGTTTGCCTTCTCCTGTGCTTCCACCTCTCATCATTAGGAGATGGGACCAGCATGTTCGGAAGCCCACTCAGCCTATGCACTCAGCAGGTTGGAACCATTAGGAAAGTACAGTCTTTGGGAGCTGTCCTTAACCAGTGATGGACAGATACTGGTGTATAAATTCCCCAGCTCCCTCACCCTGCAGGCAGGATAACCCTGAGGAATATGTTCTACTCTGGCATCCAGGGGCCCCCCAAGCAGAGTGAAGCTCCAGTTGCCCATGCAATAAACATGCTAACACAGCCTTTTTGGGCTACCTTCCCTTCCCTTTTTCCATTCCCCACTTGCAGTGTTTCCAAGGATTACCTCTCGAATAAACTACTTGTATATGAATCCTTGACTTGGCATCTACTTCTTGGGGAACCCAGCCTCAGGCAATGAGTAACTCACATAGAGACGGTGTGCTATCTAAGTATAAGCGAAGATGAAGGAAAACTCTATTTTCTTTGGATCTGATCAAGTTTATTTACAATCTTGATTTTATTTTTAGTATTTATTTTATTTATTTATTTATTTATTTAATTTATTTAATTGAGACTGAGTCTCTCTCTGTTGCCCAGGCTAGAGTGCAGTGGTGTGATCTTGGCTCACTGCAACCTCCACCTCCTGGATTCTAGTGATTCTCCTGCCTCAGCCTACAGAGTAGCTGAAATTACAGGTGTGTGCCACCACACCCGGCTAATTTTTTGTATTTTTGTATTTTTATGGGGTTTTGCCATGTTGACCAGGCTCGTCTCAAACTTCTGACCTCAAGTGATCCACCTGCCTTGGCCTCCCAAAGTGCTTGGATTACAGGTGTGAGCCACCACACCAGGCCTACAATCTCAGTGTTAGATTTCACTTATATTCTTCTGCTCTGTAACCCAGTGTGGAGTGCAGTGGTACAATCATAGCTCACTGCAACCTGAAATTCCTGGGCTCAAGCAATCCTCCTGCCTCAGCCTTCTGATTAGGTGAGACTATAGGCATACACCACCACACCCAGCTAATGTATTTTTATTTTTTGTAGACATGAGGTCTCACTGTGTTGCCCAGGCTGGTCTCTAATGCCTGGCCTCAAATGATCCTCTTTCCTCAGCCTCCCAAAGTGCTGGAATTACAGGGATAAACCACCATCAAGCCTGGTACAATCCCACTTTTAGAAAACATATTGTCACAATGATATATCCATTAGTTCTGAGGCAATTGACATTTATTTTGTATCAGGTAGTTTCAAATTCACCCTCTTGTTTAATTTTTATAAAGCCTTCATGAGGTAGGTGGTATTACACCCAGTGCATGGATGAAGAAACTGAAGTTCAAAGACATTAAAGGATTTTCCCAAAGACTCCCATGCAAGGGGCCGTGCCGGAGCTTAGGTCTTCTGTCTCTCCAAGTTCTACATACTTTACCACTCTGGCCCACTGCCCCTGACATGCTGCACTTCATCCCAAGACCTTTCTGAGTTTAAGAAGAAAGCCCAGCACAATGTATGCAGTGGACCTCAGCTGGCCATTCAGATGGAGAAAGTTTGTTTTGTTGAGAAACAGATTTCCTCTCAAGCACAGCAGTACGAAGGCTAAGAGGAGCCTCCTGCTTCCAGACAGGCTGCCAACTTGCTGCACATAAGCCCCTCTTCTTTCTCCTATCTTGATGGGCTAGGAAGCAGTCAGATGCCTTGGCGGCACTGCCCTGGAGAACAGTGAGATTGTGGGGAAATGACAGCCTGGAAGGTCCTCGACGTGTGGATGTAGGTCCAGGGCCAGCCCAAGGGAGTGTAGATATGAGATTGGATTGTGGAGTACTTGCCCTTCCCTTCAACATGGGAATGCTGGGAAAATCAATAAGTAATAAAAAGAATGAGCTGTGGCTAAACCCCTGTAGCAGACCCCCCCAGCCAGATTCCTGGGAATCTCTTTTACTGGCTGTGGCCAGCGTCTCACATATCTCTGCAGCCCTTTCCAGAGGATGACCCCTGGGCAAGAGGTCCTGCTTCTCCTAATGCACAGCTAGTGTGCAGGGTATGGAAAGCTAGCCCCCTTACCTCCAGGAGGGACAAACTCTGGAGTGTGCGTCACACAACAGAGCTTCCTGGGATCCAGTTGAGAACTGGCTCCAGTGGAATCCACATCTTTGCTTGGCATCATCCTCTGCCTATTGCTCCCATTTGGTTTCTCCTGTACGCCCCGCCCCAATACATGACAGCTCTAGAATTTCCTTCTCAGGCTCTGCTTCTGGGGAACCTGACCTGTGACAAAAGCTAACATTTATAAAGCATGTATTATGTGTCAGACACTTGCCAAACAATTTGCATGGGTTATTTGGTTGAATATTCATGATGCCCATGAAGCAGGAGCAATTATTCCCATTTCACATATGAAAACACTGAGAATCTGAGAGGTTAAATAGTTCCCCCAAGGTCACACAGCGGATGTGGAAGGGCTGGAGTTTGAACCTGGGCTATCTGGTTCTGAGATCTTCACTCTTCTGTGCTATTTTTTTTTAAAGGTAAGATCAACTTCAGAGGGAGCCTTGAAAAAGCAGACAGCAGAAAATGTCTCGAAAATCCAAGCCAATGCCAGGATCACTCAGAGGGAACGTGGAAAAGGGTAAAAGCACAGCTCCAGCTGACAAGGGGAGTGTTAGAGAAAGCAGGGACTTGGGCCGGGTGCGGTGGCTCAAGCCTGTAATCCCAGCACTTTGGGAGGCCGAGACAGGCGGATCACGAGGTCAGGAGATCAAGACCATCCTGGCTAACACGGTGAAACCCCGTCTCTACTAAAAAACACAAAAAACTAGCCGGGCGAGGTGGCGGGCGCCTGTAGTCCCAGCTACTCGGGAGGCTGAGGCAGGAGAATGGCATAAACCCGGGAGGCGGAGCTTGCAGTGAGCTGAGATCCGGCCACTGTACTCCAGCCTGGGGTCAGAGCGAGACTCCATCTAAAAAAAAAAAAAAAAAAAAAAAAAAAGAGAAAGCAGGGACTCCAAAGCCACTGGGGCCACAGTCCCCGGTGACAGCTCACTGCCCTGCCCCAGGCCTTGAGCATGGGGCTGTGGCAAGGTGAGAGCTGAAGCTTAGAAAATTCTGTAGCTGTACCTTTGAGGCAGCAAAGACAAACCCTGGACCTTGAGAAAATGTCCTTGTTTAAAAAAATAAAAGCACACATTGAATGCCATCCGTATGCCAAGCCTCAGGTTAGGTGCTGTTGGTCTGAAAGTGCTCACGGCAGGGTGAGGCCTAGCAATTGCTCCAGCCTGCTGCCTCGGGGTGCCTGCACCTCATCCTCCTGTTGTTGTGGGTCTGTCTCGACCCCAAGCTGCCTGCAGGTTCTGCTCCCAGCCTTTCTCCCTGGACCTTTGCCTCTGTGGTCCGGACTCTCAGACTCTGGTCTGCTGGCCCTTGTCCGGATGCTACCCATACCACAGGGTTGGCTGAGAGCTGTCTCTGGTCTCTTGAGCTGTCCTGACAGGTGCCAGTCTCCCAGGGGACTTGGTCAGCTGGCCACGGGACTCACCCTGGTCCCTAGGAGTACAAGGAGGTCCTCCTCCCCACCACTCCATCAAATGGGTTCTAACATCTTCGCAACAAAGCCAGAGGCTCTGTTACGGCACTTGGAGCCCAGTGAGATACAACAAAGAACTTGGGCCTTCCCTGGAGCCCAAGGACAGGAACCCACCCACCTTCTGTCCTTCCGGCCTGGTCAGTGTCCATGAGACACCCAGGACTGGGGAGGCCCCCTCTGCTCTGGCCAGTGGCTGGGCAAGGCTGAAAGCTCCCCATGTCAGATGCGTAGCCAGCAAAGAGCTCCCCACCCCAGGGGCCAGTGGTCACAGCCATACTGTTTGTGTGCAGCTGGACACTGTGGGTGGCCTTGGTGGGGGCAAGTGGGAGGGAAGAGCTGAAGAAGAGTGTGGGGACTTGCAGCCGGTTAGTCCACTTGCTTTGAGGGTGGTGAGCGTTGGGATTTTAGGAGCTTTAAAAAAAGGAAGGTCGAATTTGCATACTGTAAAATGTATAAATTTTGAGTGTAAAAGGTGAAAAAGGTATTTGTGTGTGTGTGCACCCATGTGACCGCTACCTGAATTCAAAGATAGAAGGTTCCATCCCCGACAAAGTTCTTTCCAGTTAACAGCCCCTCCCACTCCAAAGAGAATCACCTTTCCATCCTCTGTTGTTGTAGGTTGGTTTTTGTCTCTTCTCCAACTTCGTGTGAATGGGATCATGCAGTGTGTGCTTTTTCGTATCTGGCTTCCCTGTGAGATATATTCATGTTGTTCTGTTTCAGTAATTCATTCATTTTGATTGCTAAGTAGTATTCCATTGTGTGAATATACCTCACTATTATTATTCACTCACCTGTTGATGGGAATTTCCATTCTTTTTTTTTTGATACAGAGTCTTGCTGTGTCTCCCAGGCTAGAGTGCAGTGGTGTAATCTCAGCTCACTGCAACCTCCACCTGCTGGGTTCAAGAGATTCTCCTGTCTCAGCCTCCCAAGTAGCTGGGACTACAGGTACGGGCCACCACGTCCAGCTAATTTTTGTATTTTTAGTAGAAACGGAGTTCTGCCATGTTGGTCAGGCTGGTCTTGAACTCCTGACCTCAGGTGATCCACCCATCTCAGCCTCTCAAAGTGCTGGGATTACAGGCATGAGCCCACTGTGCCTGGCTGGGAATTTGCATTTTTTTTTCCAGGACGGGGCTTTTATGAAGAAAGCTGCTATGAACATTTGGATACAAGTCTTTGTGTAGACACATGTTTTGATTTCTCCTAGGTATATACCTAGGAGTGGGATTGCTGGCCCATATATTTAACTATTAGAAACTGCCAAATGGTTTTTCAAAGCCATTGTACCATTTTGCACTCCCATCAGCAGTGAGGAGAACTGGGAATGGGTTTTTAACATGCCTCATTCTCACTTAATCTTCAGGTCTCAACCCAAACATCATTTCCACAGGAAGGTCTTCCCTTGCCCTCCAGACTAGGAGAAAACCCAATATTTTATATCCAGATCCCCTTGTTAATGGCCCTAATCACAGATGAACTAATTAAAGACCTGCATGCATTGTTCAATTCTGCTCAACTGCTGGCCTGTTCGAGGCTCCTTGACAGTGGCCTCTAACCCTGCATCCCCAGGCCTGGCCGCCAAGCCCAGCACAGAGACAGGCTCAGCCAATGTTTGTTCCCAACAGGCTGGCCAGTTGGGTAGAGCCCAGCATCCCACAACTTAGCTGCCCTCGTTTTGGTCCTGCACGTAGGGTTCGCTGTGTTCTGTTCTCTGGTGATTGCCCTGTTTCATTTCTCGCCACTCCCCTGCTCACAGTCTATGCTAGAACTGTGTAACTCTTTTCAAAGGACCTCTTGTGGGATCTCAGACAACACAAGTCTGAGCTTAGTGAACTCTCATAGAAAATACAAATATTGTTCTGGCATGGGGGCTCAGGCCTGTGTAATCCCAGCACTTAAGGAGGCTGAGGCAGGTGGATTACTTGAGGTCAGGCGTTCAAGACCAGCCTAGCCAACATGGCGAAACCCCATCTCTACTAAAAATACAAAAGTTAGCCAGGCATGGTGGTGCGGGCCTGTAATCCCAGCTCCTCCGGAGGCTGAGGCAGGAGAATCACTTGAACTCAGGAGGCAGAGGTTGCAGTGAACCCACATCATGCCATTGCACTCCACCTTGGTGACAAAGCGAGGCTCCATCTAAATAATAAAAAAAAAAAAAAAAAAAGAAAAAAGAAAATACAAATATCCAACCCTAAAAGATAAAATCCTGGTTTCTGCCAAAAACCTTGATGATGCTCTGTTTTCTTTCACTGAATTCAACATGTTTTCACATAGAAAACATGTTTTCAAACACACGTTTTGTAGAAGCTCAGAAAAGACAATTTTGGGCCCAGTGGGTACTCATAGAAAGATACAAATATCCAGCCCTAAAACCTAAAAGTAAGGCTTGTGCCAACAAACTTGATAACGTACTGTTTTCTTTCACTGAATTCAACATATTTTCATGCAGAACAGTTTTCAAATAAATGTTTTGTAAATGCTTAACAAAGACTTTTTTGAGCCTTATAGACTCATAAAATGATGCAAATACCAAGCCCTAAAAGCTAATAGAAAGCCTTGGGCTTACAGAGCTAGAAAGAGATGACAAGTTCTGCCCATGCCACACAGTCTGGTACAAGTAGTATATGCAAGTTAGTCAGGTCTGTGTTTTCAGAATTACATTGAACAGAGAGGATATTCATAAAATGGGAATTGAGTTGCACTTTGCAGCAGGGTTTCTTAACCTTGGCACGGTTGACATTTGGGCTGGATATTTCTTAGTTATGGGGTTCCATCCTATGCAATTGTAGGATGTTTAGCAGCATCTTGGGTTCTACTCACTGAATGCCATTAGCTCCCCTACCGATGACAACAAAAATTTCATCAGATATTGCCAAATGTTCCCAGGGAGACAAAGTCAGCACTAGTTGGAAACCACTATTCTGCAAAGTCAAGTCATCTTGTAGGGAAAAAAAATAACAGAGAGAAAGGCTAGTGTTAATGTTAAACAGATTCAGATTATGAAATATGTGCATATCAATATTTAAAATTTAGCCTTGATTAATGCACTTTTAAAAACTTGGTATAGACAGATTTCTCAAATTTTAAATCTTAACACAGCTTTATTATCCTTAAAGGTTATATAATAATGTGTAATGAGAAAAAAAAAGTAAAAATCTGTTTCTTATAAAGCTGAATGTTTCATAGATTCAATAGAATAATTCAAGCCTTCTTAACCCTGAACAGTTAATTTATAATTTCAGGAGAAACTACATAGCAAGTATTTATTTTATTGAAAAGGAAAAACAATAAAAATAACTACATTAAAAAAATAAAGCTACTGAAATAGATCTGCCCCTAAAATAAATGACTTCACCCTGAAACAGGACTGAGTGACATTAAGCATGACTTTGCCCAATTCTGTAAAGCCAAGTGATGCCACGCAAGCTGGCACACAGAGGCCTGAGAAGATGTCCTGGAGTAGGAGGGATCCTGGGGGCTCCAGATCCACCTTGGGAGGAGAAACAGGTGAGACAGGTGGTGAGGACAAGAAGCCTGACACAAAGCAGCATCCAAATGGTGCCTCTCAAGCTCATCAAAGTGCCAGATTTAACTCATTCTTTTTGTTTGAGACAGGGTCTTGCTCTGTTGCCCAGGCTGGAGTGCAACAGCAGGATCATGGCTCACTGCAGCCTTGACCTCCTGGGCTCAAGCAATCCTCCCATTTCAGCTTCCCAAGTAGCTGAGACTATGGGTGCATATCACCACGCCTGCCTGAGTTTTTATTTCTTGTAGAGATGGCGTCTTGCCATGTTGCCCAGGCTGGTCTCAAACTCCTGGGTCAAGCAGTCCTTCTGTCTTAGCCTCCCAAAGTGTTTGGATAAGAGGCATGAGCCACCGCACCTAACCTAGACTTTAACTCTTAACCTTCTTTTTCTCCACCATTGCTCCTGCAGCTGTGGCTGCCTGCAGCCCATCCTGCCCCCAGCAACTAGAGTCATCTTTAGAGATGCAAGCCTGATCGTGGACTCTACCTTCCTAACACCCTTCAGCGCTCTCCTCTTCCTTACACCCTTGCTATGCAAAGGATAGTCCATGGACCAGCAGCGTCAACATAATCAGGGAGCTTGTTAGAAATGTGGAATCTGGTCCACCCCAAACCTGCTGAAGCAGAAGCTGCATTTTACCAAGATCCCAGGGAATTTGTGTGCCCATTATAGTTTGAGAAGTGCTTCCCAAGAGGACATAGGGCAAGCAGCAGGAGGGATCTTTGCAGATCTTGCTCCTTTCATTCTCCAGCCTCATCCTGTCACTCTCCTCCATCTGTGCCCATATTCCCATTGTACTGGACCGCTTGCAGCTTCTTGAATGCACCATAGTCTTGTTTTCTTTTTTGCAGTGATTCTGCATCTTTCCCATCTTCTCCACCTGGATGCCCCCATTCCTCCTTTCAGACTTGCCTTCTCTAGCAAATCTTTCTTGCTAATTCCCATGTTTAACACAGCACTTTTCCACAGTGCATGGTCATTATCCCTTCTGCATCAGACTGTGAGCACCTTGAAGGCAGTGGCAGTGACTCATTCATTGTGGCTTCTGTGGATTCCCGTGGACTGCCAGGCATGCAATAGAAAATCAAAAAAGATTTACTGCTAAATAATCCTCAGCTCCAGCGGTAGCTCCATGTACCATTTCTCTTCTGCTCTGGCCTCGCCTCTTCCTGTGTCTACCTGGGGCTGGGCCTTCACCTAGGTGTCTGCATGGAAGGGAGAGGGACCTGGAGGACCATCGCCAATCCATCAATAACCTCCCAGTTGAGATGACTTCAGCTCTGACTTTGAAGAGCTATGATATTGTTTGTAGGAGTAAATTAATATGTGTAAAGGCTACAAAGTAAACAGTTAAATTAAATTAATTGTTCCGGAGCAGGTCATACAGGCTCCTGAGAGATGATCATACGCATCTCTATTAACTCCACATTCAGTGACATCATGTGGGTAATTTGAAATTGGCTGGGTCACCATTTACATCATAGAAAGTGGCAAATAGTACAAATTATGGCTCCCTCACCCCTACTCTGGCATAGAGCTGATACACTAGCACACCTCTGGTTATATGTGCATGCGTGTGGCACCACAACAAAACACCTAATAGCAGGCACGTTGCCTCTGTTGCCCACCATTATGGCTCCTGCATGGAGCAGACAGACTCATGGGAGGAACTGAATGCGTGTTTGTTGAGTGGAGGCAGGAACAAATCCACACAACACCCAAGATGAGGCAAAGAAGGACATTAGCTCAAATGTTAAACATAAGTTAGGAGCTGAGATAATGCAAAGAGGAAAAATGTTCTGTAATTCTAAGTAAAACCCATCTCTAAGGCAGGATGTTGCCTATGGGGGCTCCACAGACAGATGAGGGAGGCCTGGGTCCTGCCTTTGGAGAGAGTCTGACAGCTCGACTTTTGGAAACAGCCATCTGCACAGGTCAGCATCTTTCTAGCTGGCAGGGAGCAGATTTGCAGATCACATCACATTTGAAATTCCAGAAGAAACTTCTTGGAGTCTGCTCTTGTGCAAATGAGCCTAGAAAGCTCGTTAACTTTGGGTGGAGGCGTCCACCATTTGGCTGTCCTAAGTGGGCCCAAAGCTCAGGAAAACCCACCAGCCCTTTGCTTCCTGCTTCCTCTATTTGTTTTCCCCAGGACATCAGAGGTGATGACATGATTTGGCTTGGGCACCGTCAGGAATAAACGATATTTAAGAGATGTCATAAGTGCCCCCATTTTGTTCTTGATTGCTAAGTAGCCCCGAGCCAAAACAGTCAATTAAAAAAATTAGAATCTTAGTTACAGATTTAGAAATACCAGCACAACACAATCAACATGGCTTGCACCTAGCCAGGACCCTGCCTGCACCTTCACCTCTGCTTTGTTCTTGAAAATCCCTCTCCTTGGTGCTGAATGTTATTTTTTGAGCATGGAGCTCCTGGTTGCAAAACACCTTTCCCTGCTGGATGCTGGTGTCACCTCTGATAAGCCTGTGCATGTAATTCTCCCTTGGACACGGGGTGCATGGATGGTCTCCTCCCCCCAGTCAGTACCTCCCCTCTCCCTCCCCACCACCCACCTCTCACCATCCAGGGAGGCCAGCTGTGTGAGTTCCTCTGGCCTTGACCTGCCTGCTTCCAGCTTCCTCTAGTTCCTCTCTGGCCTTCTGCCAATTTCCTTCCACAGATTATGGCCAAACCTGTTGGAGTCAAAACAATTTGCATTGTTTAAGAAAGCAACGCTTTCTTGCAATACTTTCTCACAAAAGGGTTTGCATTAAAATAAGATCTGGGAATCCCCAGGACGAATGGGAGGGTGGGGGGGTGGATGGAGGGATGAAGCTCAGTTCAGGGTTCAGGGCATCTTGGAGGAGGCGGTGACACTTGTTAGAAATGTAGAATCTGGGGCTCAGTGCAGTGGCTCATGCCTGTAATCCCAGGACTTTGGGAGGCCGAGGCAGGCGGCGGAGTTCCAGACCACGCTGACCAAAATGGAGAGACCCCATCTCTACTAAAAATACAAAATTAGCCAGGTGTGGTGGCGCATGCCTATAATCCCAGCTACTCGGGAGGGTGAGGCAGGAGAATCGCTTGAACCTGGGAGGCAGAGGTTACAGTGAGCTGAGATCACACCATTGCACTCCAGCCTGGGAAACAAGAGCGAAACTCCGTCTCAAAAAAAAAAAAAGAAAAAGAAAAAGAAAAAAGAAAAGGAATGTAGAATCTGGTCCGCTCCAAACCTGCTGAAGCAGAAGGTGCATTTTACCAAGATTCCAGGGAATTTGTGTGCCCATTACAGTTCAGTCCAGGGTACAGGGATGACACTTTAGTATTGGAGGATGAGCTCTTTTTGGGGGTCGGCTTTGTGCTGACCAGGAAGGTCCCTTTAGAAGGGGCATGGTCAGCGCATGGGGCTCATTTCAGTCTGAAGCCTCTCACCCAATGCCAGAGGAACAGATTCCCCCACCCTCTATTTGGGGTCTGGGGCTCAGTGTGGGAGGGAGGCCTTGGGGCTTTAGTGCTCTGGGGGTGGAATCTCGGTCGCTTCCCCGTGCATGCTCCTGCTCCAAAGTGAGGCTCCCAAAAGCCACGGGCCCAGGGGAAGGCTCCCATTTGCCAGAGGAAACAGCTGAGTCTATTTTTCCGGGGCAGTCTTTGGATGATCTGGAATGTGCTTTGAGATTTCTCAAAGGCATAGTATTTTAGTCTCATTTTTGCAGGAAATATCTGAGCTATTCCCATTTTGTAGGGATACATTCCCAGAGGCATGAGGGTTGGGCTCCCTTTTCTTCCACTGGGGAAGCTGGATGCCCACTGAAGTGGGGTCCTCTGTCAGCACTGAGGATAAGGGATGAGGAGGCCCTCGCTCATCTCTGACTCGTGGTCTCTGGGTAGACAGCAAACTCTTAGCCTCTGGTCTGAGCCAGGCTCACCAAGAGGTCTGTTCCTCAACAGAGCAGTGTCTGAGCTGGAAAAACTGAAACTGGTCATGATGCCAAGTCTGTGTAAGTCTTCTTGATCACTCGCCTGGCAGGTGTGGTCTGTGACAGTGCTGCTTACACGAGGGCACACGAGCCCTGCTGTCATATTTCAGTAGAGACCCTGGTAGACTCAGGATGTGGATGTGCCATGCACCAACACAGAGACAGCTTAGGGTACACGTGTCCATCCATCTACAGCCATGACGAAAAAAGTCTTGGGTGAAGGAACAAGATGTGACCACATCATAGGTACCATGTAGGGCCTGGAGTCCTTGACCCAGTCAGCCACCACCCCAATCCAGTCACTTGTTGTCAGAAAGCTTGAGGTAGAGGGTGCGGGCAGCTCAAGACAAACTTAAGGCCACTGCTCGGGACACCCTATTAGGACCAGAGGGTGGAGTTTCTAGACACTGTCAGGCATATCTTAAGCAAGGTGGGATGTGAGGGGCTCCAGGAAAATGCTGATTGTCTGCCAGAGCCTGGAGGGGAGGAACAGCATGGGCTACTTTAATAGTGTTCTCAATTCTCTGATCCTTTTGAGCTTTTGGATCTAGAGGGTATTCTGGCTGGAATGCAAATACTTGCATGTGTAATTTTAGTAAATGTCAGTAAAAAGGCCAGGGCATAAGCTCACCTCAAGCCTTCCCAGTGGCTGGGGTGTGTGGAGCTGTGCAGATACACCACCCTCTGAGTTGGAAGCCCGTCCACTCACTGCCTGTTTTCCAGGCTTCTTAGGCAGATGTTGGGCCAAGGACCAGGTTTAGAATGAGAATTGCTAACAGTTTTAGGAGGATTTTCAAATGGTCCTCATGGCCAAAAGTTTTAGAGAGCTTTAGGTGTGCCACTTGCAAAAGAGAGAAGATGCTTAGGCAACATTTGTAGAAAAGGTGGCTTCTCATGCTTAGATGACAGAACCTGTTCCAAATTAATGCCGTAAACAGCTGGTGGGAATAGGATTTGCTCCAGCTATGTGCGAACATAACCCGGTCACGGCTGGTAAAATTTAAATTACACACAGACTTTGTTCCAGAAAATTTGCACGTGTGAATCTATTCCACAGAAACAAAACTACCAGACTGCAATGTAGTATGTACAAGGATGTTTATTGTTTGCAGTGGCAAAAAACTGGAAGTAATCTGAACGCCCATCAACAGGCAATGATTCAATCAATTCATACATCTGTATTAAGTGAGATTATGTAGCAATCCAAAAGCATGAGCCAGCTATCTAGATAGCTGTTGTTCCAAAGAGTTTCATGATGCAATGTTAAGTTAGGTAAGCCAAATTGCAGATGAATAAATATTTTACATACATAGTACTTTTAAAAGGCATAATCAAGTTAAAAAACCCTCACTTATGTATCTGAGCACAGTTAAGGTGGAGGCTGGAAGGAGGGGGCGGGACTGGGGACGATGGGTGGGGAGGAAAGAAAACAAAGAGTAAGCAGGGCATGGTGGCTCACCCCTGCAATCCCAGCACTTTGGGAGGCCGAGGTGGGTGGATCACCTGATGTCAGGAGTTCGAGACCAGCCTGGCCTACACGGCAAAACACTGTCTCTACCAAAAACACAAAAACAATATTTCTGAGCTTGGTGGTGGGCACCTGTAATCCCAGCTACTTGGGAGGCTGAGGCATGAGAATTGCTTAAACTGGGAGGCGGAGGTTGCAGTGAGCCAAGATCATGCCACTGTACTCCAGCCTGGGCAACAGAATGAGACTCTGCCTCAAAAAAAAAAAAAAAAAAAAGGGTATAGAAAAATGAGTAAAAAGCATTGAATGAAGTTAAGTAAAAATTTAGAATATGAAAGTACACCTTTTTTATTGCGCATATGAACGTTTATATATGCAAATGGTTAAGAACTAGGAAAGTACAGGGGAAGCAGCAAACACTGACTCAATCAGATGCTGGGATCGTTGTATTATTTTGGTTTGGAATATCTGTTGTAATTTTCATGTCACTTTTACAATAAACTTGTATTTTAAAAAGTCACCACTTAGCAGGGGCTGAGAAAGCAATGATTGGCAAAATTATTCACACTGCAAAATGACGATATCCAGAAAAATTCCGAAGCCCCTCCCAATGTCTTGCACATAGTAGGCACTCCATGCCCCTTTGCTAAAGTGAAAAACCAGGGTCCCTAAGCCTTTTATTCCACCCCATGATTCATCTACTTGAGCAAGAATGTTCAAGCACACACACTTTCGATTAAAAGCTCCATAAGCACATTTTGCATTTGAATCACCGTGTACACATTCACGTCACGCCCCACTGAAATCTGGTTGCTGGGACTATTAACAGAATGAGAAAAGACAGCAATTACAGAAAATAAACGACATCATGACCTAAGCGTTTTCACATCAGAAATGAAGTCATTTGGCTGACGTGGCTGCACGTGCTGTTGTAATTAAACTTAGGAGAGCGAGGAAGTGAAATGTCAGTGTCAGCCTCCGAGTACTTTTTCTTTCTTTCTCTCTTGCCATTGTTATTATTTTTTAAATTAGAAAGCAGGAAATAAGCTTAGAGGATATGTTCTGTACTTTTTTCTTGCTCTCTGATCTAGAATTAACAGGACTGTGGAATCAGAAGGCGAGTGTAGCGCTGGCAGCAGCGTGAACCCCAGTCCTGGCTGCAGGGTGGACGTCTCCTCCATGTGCCCAGTGTAAGGCTGTTTCTTTGCGCTGCTCTGCCCCCAAGTCCTCCGCTCACTTTCAATGTTAAAACCTTCCAAATGTGTCCTTGAGAAGAACACTGATAGCCGAGGGGACTCAGCACAAGAGATGCCCTCATCAGCACTCATGTTCTGAAATGCTTTGGATAAACTGTCTGATAAAATGCATGTTCCCCCCTTACAAACTCTCTTTAAAGGAGAATTGATAATATTCAGTGGCTGTTTTCTCCAAATATGGTTCAACAACTCCTGGGAGTCTCTGAGAGTGGCCTAGAGTGCCTGTAGGAGCCTCTTAGAGCATTCAATTCATTGTTTTAAATTTAAAACAGATTTTAAACATTATTCATATTTTGTTATATATATTTTTAGCTAATAAGGTGGTGTATCAATTCCTGCTTATGGCATGGATTGGATTCTTTATTGGGTCTCCCTAAAGACACAGTTTTGTTTCTTTTTTAACCTTTTTGGTGAGTAATTGGATTTTTGTAGTGCTAAGTGGTTTACAGAGATGATGGCCTTCACCAGGCTGTCTTGAAAGAACTGAGAGACTTTGCATAGAACACAGATATAAAG